TGATTAATTAAATTTACTATTTTTTTAAGGTAAGTGGTGGCAATCAATTTATTTTAGCTACAATTAAATAAATGTTGCTGAAAGTTAGTCAACTAAATTTGTTTATTGAAATGAAGCTAAAATAAATTGATTTCAACCACTTACCTTAAAAAAATTTGTAAATTTAATAATTTTTACCTTAAAAAAAATTGAGTATCCTTTTTTTCATATAAATCAATGCAAAGTCCACTGATTCCACTCCTCGTGTTCGAAGTGGCTTGTTCAAAATTCAAAAATAGTGAAAAGCGGCAACAAAAATATTGACGGCAGGACATGTTTTTCATTCAGAGCGCATGGTTTATATTCATAAATGATCAACATTAATGCCTGAAATACGAGCACACAACCACATTAACAAACTCGCGCGAAATAACAACTCAGTATTTACCAATATTCAAATAAACCCAACCCAAGGGTGGGCTGAAGTAGCCTACGATGTAAAAAATAATTTAATTGCAATTCAATTTGTTTTAATAGCCTATTTCAGGAACAAATACTGACTACTTTTTTTGTATGCGCAGAAAAACATAACCCACTGAAAGGCTGAATGTGACAGTAAAACATTATCATCTACCATTCGCTGAAGTGAATTGGTTGATTTATTATTAATAAGAATAATGAGCATTTAATGTGTAAACACGATCTGCGCTTGATGGACATTTTCTGACTAAAGGGGAGATGAAAGAGCAGCGCCGCTCCGGCTGCGCGGGAAACTCACACCACCGTCACGGCTGAGTTTCCCGCGCCGCGGCAGGAGCGGCGCTCCTCTTTGATCTCTCTTTTATTGCCGCGCGCAAACAAAGCTGACTTCTGCCTCGCGCTCAGTCAGAGGGCATTCCAGAGAAACGCGCACAAAAGGCCGTGAGTGACAGCGCCACTGTCCGCCACCCCAGCCGCATCACTCCCCTCCAAAAGCCTGAAAAGCACTTAGATCTTGTCCATGTAAAAGCTCCCGTTTGTAAATCTTAATAGAACCATATAATTGTAAAGCGTGCTCCTGAATGTCTTCACGCCCAAATAGCGCTCATTTCCGTAACACAAATTTTGAATTGTGGGCCATAAAATCGTCGCATCCTATATGAACTTTTTAAAAGCCCGAGAACTGTATTCTGTACACCTGCTTATTTGGAGAAAACGCTTTCCTAAATTGGTGTAAAACGGAAATTGCATTTTGTTGTAGCCTATTTTAAACCTAGGATATTTGACCATTTTACAAGATTTATTAACCTTAAATATTTCTTATTCGTTATTTGCAAAATGTCATCCGTTTTTCACGAGGTCATTAAATGATAATGGACCGTTTTCTATATTTGTGTGTTTTTACGGCACCGGCCACCAGCACACAAAAGGAAATGAAAATAATTGTATTCTATTGCCTTCTGGTCAATTTACCTTGTAGCGCAGAAAGCGTGTGGAGCAGACGCGCAGCCCTAACGAGTTCCCAGGCAGGGCTCGAGCTGTAGCCTAATTATTCCGCCGGGTTTTCTGTGGGATCGGACGCTGCACTGGCTAAACACAAAGAAGTCAGAGAGCATCCTTGAACCTTTTCAGTACAGGGCCAGTGATATTCAAATAACAGCCAGGGACCATTTGACAGCGAGAGCATTTTAAATCCAACATTAGCATAAGGCCTCTCCCCATTTCCCCTTTCAAAAGTGGCATCCAGAAAAGGCAAGAAAGGAAGAGAAGAAAAAAAAACTGTTCCCATAACACCAAATCAAGTGTAGCGTTTTATAAAAGCTAAACGATGCTTTATGCCTTCAGCCCTCTCTTGGATGGACATTTTCCGTTTGACATGCAAATTTAAGCAGTTAATTTGAGCAATTCAAATAAATATTCAGAGGCCCTTTGTCACCGAATCCCCTCGGAAAATGTGCGATAAAGAGCTGCTGAACAAATGATGTCTCGGAGAGTAATTAGATATTTGATAAGACACGAATCCCTAATCGCCAATACAAGACACATGGGGCTGCGATGTGCTCCAAGTCATAATTAATACTATTTAACAAGATTTTCATTTGGAAAAAAATGCCTTTCCGGGGCATTAACTATTGATTTTTCCCACTGGGGAAAACGAGTCTACATCAGCGCAACATTATCGATGTTTAGTCTGCAGTGGTTTCATTTTTCTAAAATGTAAATAAATGTGCGTAATTACGCGCGGGCTTTAAACGATTACAGCTGAGACTAGCAAAGCCTCGGTTGAATCGGATGAAAACATTTGCACCAGACAACCCAATCTTTCGATTTTAAATCCCTTTAATTACTAAATGAAAGCCTTGTAAGCGTGACTTTGTACAATTAAACATTTATATATTTTTAGCAAGGTAAAGGAAAGGTTAAATGAATTTTAAATAGCTGTGTAACATACATACTGACATCCACAAAGTGTGTCGAAAGGAAAGAAAATTCCCTGAATTTCAGGATCCACCACAAAACAATCATAAGTAACATTTACAGGGAAAAATAACATGTTATTTTTGTGGATATATGTACACAATTAGCTCAACCGGCAGCCGTGGTTATTTAGTTCCCGCAGCGATTCCGCAGCAAATGTCCACTGTTAAAAACACTCAGCCTCGACGAGACTTCTTCGTCCTGAAAGCTGAGGAAAAGCGTTCGTCTGTGGCTGTGCGCAGCAGAAATAGCCAGTGTTGCACTGAAAGTGCTCGTTCCAATGCAATGTCAGAGTTTGTCGCATAGGCTACTCCAGACCCGTTTCCTTTTCTCGATTCACCTAAAAGAGGAAAAAGCCTTTGAGGTCAAGCTCAGGACTCGTGGTGCGGAGACTGATCTTTGACCGTGACCCGTGGGTTTACACCCTCTAAAATCAGTTCGGGCGACTCGGACCTGGGCGTCTCCAGGTTGCTGGTGTCGGTGTCACTGTCGCTGCCCTTTTTGCCTCCGCCTCCAGCGGTGTGCGTTTTGATGTGTTTGCTCAGGTGGTCGCTCCTCATGAAGCGCTTGTTGCACACCGGGCAAGCAAACCGTTTCTCGCCGGTGTGAGTGCGCAGGTGCCTCTGGAGCTCATCTGACCTGGTGAACCGTTTGCCGCAAAAAAGCCAGTTGCACACAAAGGGCCTCTCGCCAGTGTGCCACCTCAGGTGCGCTTTGAGGTGAGACGTTTTCCCGTAGACTTTACCGCAGCCCGGGATGTGACAGCTATGGAGTCCTTTCCTCCGCAGGCTGGCCCCCGCGGGCCCCAGCCGCTCCGCCTCGTGGCAGTTTGGGCAGTCGCATGTGGCGCGTCCGGAGTATCTCCTGGAGGACCTGGATGAGGCCCCTATACCCGAGCTGGCGCCGGAAATCATAGCGTTTGTGGCCGACGCGTCAGTGTAAGTGGGGATCACAGTTTTGAATCCCTCCTGCGTCAACAGGTGCTGGCCGGTGGACAGGAGGTGGGACGCAGTGGGGCTGATGCCGGTGGAGCTGAACGCGGAGTGCGTAAGGCCGGAGAAGTCTGGGTTGTAGCTGCTGAGCTGCGAGTGGATGGCTTGGGGGGTTCCGGAGTGCAATGAACTTTGCAAACTGCCGGCTGGGTTTTGCACCTCGAGCCACGAGCCTGGGTTCGTGTGCACATCCCACCACGTGGACGCGCCGTTGGCCACCTCGCCAGAGATGGTGGAGTGAAAGCCGGACTTGTACCACGATTCGTACGGGTGCGCCATGCCGACCCTCGGATATAGGGTCTCCGCGGACGAGTGCACTTTGGAAATGAAGGCGGACTGTCCTGACTCCTGCGAGGAAACGCTCGCCGTGTTGGAGAACAAGCTGCTGTACTCGGCGGAGAACGCGGAGGAGGTCGGCGAGGTCGAGGCCAGGCAGAACGCGCTGTTTGCCGAGCCGGTGCTGGTCGTTAGTCCCGAGGAGCTGCGGCTTGTGGCGACGGTGAATCCGGGCAGGCTGGATCCCAGGTTGCAGCTCGACGACGATCTCTTCCAGGGATGAAATCCGCCTTTGGAAAACGCGCTGGAGTCGGGCAGAGTCGTGAGGGGACTGGTGTTGCCAATTTTGTTGCAGGTTGCAGCCAGCATGGCTAAAGGGGTAGTTCCAAACCGCGGCTCTTCCTGTTTGGATGAGAAGTTTATGCGCTTTACTAGACTGTAAAACATAGTTGGGCTGTTTTGAAAATCAAACAATCCAGCAAGTCTAAACCGAACGCCCGAATAAAACCAAAACAAGCGCGAAAATCAGTTGCTTCACTTGCGATTTTGTCCTGCTGGATTTCAAAATAGTTGTACGAGTTGTCACGTCTTAAAAAACTTCTTTAAAGAATTTCACGTTTACATTACGGTAGTATTATTTTTAATAGGCTAACTTAAGGAATATCAATACACTAATACATTCAGTGCTTGCTTTATTATTATTATTATCATTTTCCAGATAGAATCGTCTCGCTGAACGTGGTTTTCAAGTTCTCAGTGTTTCATTATAGCTTCTTCAGATCAGCGCATTGGGTTCAGCCTTCATTTAGAGCACAAAAGTTGATATAAAAACTAGCGAATTAAAATCTCTCTGTGAAAGTTGAAAAGGTTCTCGTGTGGCATCATTAGTTTTAAGAACGAAAATAAAAACCATTGAAAAGTTTGAATGCAAGCAAGCAAGCAACACTGACATGTCAGTGCCATTAATGCAACTAAAAGAACGAAAATGCGTCGAATTAAAATAAAGAAGCGCTTACTTACCCCAAGTATAGACGTGGCCATATCCAGGGCCCTTCCTAGGCAGCTAGTTGAAGAGAACAATGACTCAGTGTTCCAGTGTGTCTGAGGGACAGTGCGCTGAAGCTTTACTCTCTCTACTCGAGTTGTATAGTGAGCGCGTGCTTTGAAGTACAGCTGGCTGCAATACTCAGCCAATCTGAGCGCGCGGCGAGCCGCGTCCGACCAATGAGCGACGCGACCATGACAGAAATACTAAAGCGGCACGTCAATCAATGACTGGGGTACTGATCCCACTGTCAAGCAATAAGCCATCAGCTATTTTTCATCGTTTTATATATATATAGATGGCCATCAAGGCGCAGAATCTCCACTATAGTGCTCAGCTCATATTGGTATTTAATAGGCATCCTCCGATGGTAAGCGGCTCATCTTGATTTTATGCATGATATCCATATCTGTTTTGTGTGTCCATGTGCAAACGGATATGCTTAAAATTAAAGGTTCACACGCGTAACCGTCCGCAGCTGTGATCGCGTTATTGTTTTAATGATGTGGTTATATTGTAGGTAGTTATATTGTGATTTGATGTAGGGATTAAAACCACAACGCTATTTCTGTTTAGACTCGTTAGCGTTGTTATAAGGTGACATTACGCAGCCATGTTTTGAGAGGATACAAAATCATAAGTATCATGCAATGTCAGCGTCATTTTCTTATTTATTCTTTCATTAATGCTGTTATTTTTAAAATGTAAGAATGTTTTAGTCATGCTCTGAACTTATTGAAAATTCCAAATATTCAAAATATGTCGAACTTTCAAATTAGAACCAGTCGATGAAATGCAAGGATGCATGTTGGAGGAAGAGGACGGAGGGGCACCACTGATCCCACAACAGGTGTGTTAGACTTTTGTTGAGAGTGTTTCGTGTGTGAGAGAGAAAAAGAGGGAGGGATGTTGGGGGCGCAGGTTAGGGTTTGGGGCGCTCACCCCCGCGCTTCCTTTAATAAATACCTTCAGAACAACACGCGAGCACATGACTCAAAGATCGTTAACAAATATTTATTCTTCTTATAATTTATATAGTCTATGAATTCTTAATGCAAAGTTTGAGCGCTAAATCTAATTAAATAAAAACTAAATTAAATATAAAAGAAATACCAACCTTTTGGATAAATAACAGATGCAATAATTGACAATTTTTCTTTTTTTTTTCTCAGCAATTCTTTTTATATATAAAGATCAATGCATTAGCTGTAGCAGTGTCTTGCGCTGCTTGTTAAAACATTTAAGGCTATAATGACAATGTAACAATGGCCTGCTTTCGAGTGAATCGCCTCCTTTTAAAAGTTAAAGCAATTTTCTTGAGAATGGCCCCCGCCGAAACGCTGTGCATTACTGTATTCAAAATGACCAAATAATGCTCCATTATAGCGGTTGAACGCTGCCAGTCAGGCTGGATGCAATTTACTCCAAAGCGCTTTGCTTTAAATTCCCTCCTATGGAGAGAGCTAGGGAATATAAAACAATCCATTCAAATCCAAGCGGTGGAGTCTCGAAAATCGCTTGATTTCCGCAATCACTGCAAATTGACGGAGGAACAATTAACACTATTAAACGTCTGTTCAGCATAAACAAATTGGCCTGAGGCTCGGAGAGGTTTAGGTTACATATTTAGATATGTATGTATGCGCATGTACGGCATGTCTATTCTGCTGCAAATGAAATAAAACTGGGGCATCCGATGTGCATTTCTTTACCAGTTCAGGCGAAATGTGTCCAATATGAGACGCTGAAGAAAACGGGCCATTAAAGAGACTAGCTACTCGCAATTAATATGTGAATTAATATATTCACTTCGAGTGGTTTCTTTTAATTTGTGGATTGATTGCCCCGTCAGCATTTATGTGGCAAATAAAGCTACATTTGTTAATAAAGACAGAAAGAAAATAAACATTAAACGGCACATTTAAATTATACGTAAAAATGTTTTGTAATTTGGTAAACCCACATTTATTTTTGTTTATTTTTTAGAAGGGAAAAAAAAACAGTTTTTTTGTTTAAAAGTAAGCAAGTTAGATGTCAATGCATTGGCTACTGTCATAATTTTAATTCAGTGCAGGCTAATTCTGATCACCAAAACGAACCGGACCTTACGCTCTGCATATTTAAATTAAAACTCGGTTTGTATTAAAAAGCACAGTCCGGCTTGAAAGCACTTTTCTGTGGTAATTAGGAGCCTATTACAAGTCATTAGATTGATCAATGTACCTTAAACAATGTGAGTGATTTATTTGGTAAGAACAAAACGCTGTGCATCTATTGTCGTGAGCCTGAGTGACGATATACATCCATCACAGCGTTAAACAGCACAAGATGAATGATTAATCCGGACCTATTCATTAAAAGGGTCTGGCCCGCTCCAGAAGCCCTGTAGAAGCAGGGAGAAAGGGGTTTTCAGGGGAGAATTCTTATCGGGTGCCGCTGGGATTAATTTGTCCCCACCCTTAAAAGGAATAGCGCATTTGTGGATAATTAACTAATCTGGCTCATTTTAAATCCCTCTCTACTACAGGTCCTTCACTTGATCACCCCAAACAGCCTGGTTTCCTCCCTCTAACAATTCAGAGAGAGTCAAAACAAATATGAACTCACATCTCAGTTGCTTTTTTTGTGCAAATAGTGTCACTTCTCGAGGCACCTCGCAGGTTGGTTTTGTGATTAAATGTCTCTATTTGGAAAAAAATGTTTTGGGGCCAACAGAAAAAAAATTCCTGTGTTTGTGCACTTCATGATCTTGACAATAAAACAGACGCTTGACAGGTTCAAGCATGTTCAATGAGCTCACCGGGATTCGAGGCTCTAACCAAACACTGAGGACCAAGTCTTCTTCTGTGCAACTGTGCTATTTTTTAATAAACCCGTGTGAAAGGACGCGCGGTTTGGGAACGTCTTTACGCTGGTGGCGCAAAACAAAGCGCAGTGAACAGAAACGCCTTTGTGCTTCCAAGCAGAACCTTTTCCCTCAATTATTTCAGTTGCTAGATTTAGTAAAACGAAGACACGGATGTAATCATGGGTGGGTTTTTCGATTTGCAGCTTCATTCATATAATAAATTCGCTAATTTATTCACACAACTACACATCTCTGTTGGATATGTGGCTGTTGTTTTTTGGCAGATGTGAAAGCGCAAAGGTCACTGGTGTTCGCCGTGACATTCGCTTCCAGGTAACCCTGCAATTCCTCTCTACGTCGGATTTTACTGCATGACAGCTGTTAATATAGCTGTTGACACTATACGCAATTAAACCAATCAAAAAACAGTCGCGTATTAAACTAACACTTGTCAAATTTGTCATTGTTTATAAACTGTAGTTTCAGATGAAGGTGCATTTTAGGGGCCCACAGGGGTTTTATTCACATCTCTCTCTCTCTCTCTCTCTCTCTCTCTCTCTCTCATCATCCAGCATTATTTCATCTTAAAAACAGGAGGAACAGATCACTAGGGTTACAGCCTTCTGTGGCCATTTCAGTATCCAAACATGGTGATCTTATCCGTGCACATTATGATTTCATAATTTGCTCGCAGACAAGGCGCCTGTGGAGGATCGCTCTGACAAGCAGCGCGCAGGTCATGGGATGTCGTGTTGTTCTTAAGTGGCCAGTGAATGTTATCTGCTATTCTCCGCCTGTCACAATAGAGCAACAGTGACACTGCGCACATAATGCACGACTACTCTTGGAAATTTGCATATGTATGCCATATGATAATTTTTTTTCTCTCTAGGTGTTTGTTAATGTTAATGCCGTCTTGGGATATGCGGGATAGCCTACTATCTTGCTATTTTTTTTCCACGTTATTTTATTTATGTATTTAATTCGATTTTATGTTTTATATTATAATGATATTTAATGTTATTATTATATTAGTTATAATTAAATATTGTTTTAAATGCTATTTTTTTATTAGTAGCTATACCAAAACAAAGCAAGGAAGAAAAAAAATGCATTTAGCACGTTAGGTCGCGTTTCTGAGTCGAAACGCATCTGTCTTTGCAGTCTCAATCAAGAGAGGCTTCTGGTTCTGTCAGGGTCCAGCTCAGATAAACACACGCGCCAACAGGTGCCTATGAAAAGCCCTCGGTTCACGGCGCTGCCGCGGCTCTAACTCTACACGACGAGGCTGTCGCCTGTAATTTGTGGCGCAGAGGGATGGGTTGTGTGGAGAAGAAGTGCTGCGGTCCACCACTGCTCATCTCTGTAGTGACCGTGTGACTGACGGCTCTGTCTAATTGGGTTTGGACTCGTCTGAGATCTCGTGAGACGCGAGCTGTTTGCTATGAACTTGTTACAAATAGAAAGATGTAATTAAACTGCTTTACAAAAAGAGAGCACTGTCGTGATTCTGTGGCATTACGATTTAAGATGCTAAGATGCTGTTGCTACATCACAGCGCCATGTATTGCCATAAATATGTACCTTGGCAAAGGCAATTCTGTCTTTTATTTTTCTTTAAGGACCTTTTAAGTACTGTTTCAGTAGTATATGAAAATCCATTCAGTACTATGGCATTTCCATCTGATACCATCAATGAAGCATGGTACAAACACAGTACTTTATTTGCTAGGGTATCATGTTTATTATTTTATTTTTTTCATAAGAAGTCTCTTATGCTCACCAAGGCTGCATTTATTTGATTAAAAATACAGTTAAAAAAATAGTAATATTTTAAAATATTAGTACAGTTTAAAAGAACTGTTTTCTATTTGAATATATTTGAAAATATAATTTATTCTTATGATGCAAAGCTGGATTTTCAGCATTCAGCATCATTACTCCAGTCTTCAGTGGCATGATCCTATAGTATATATATATATATAGTCAAAATTTATTTCTCACATTATCACAGTTTATTCGCTATAGTTTGGAAAATGGTAATAAAATATGACAAGAACTCAGAGTTAAAAACATTTTTATCAAAAAAATTTTTTATCTGCTAGTCCACTGTATGAAGAATTTTTGGGTGTAATATGTCACAGTTTACTGTATTTTGCAATCCTCACTTACATAAATGAACTATAGTGTCCTGCACCCACTAGTATAAAATATCTAAATATCAAAAATTATGTCTGGTGTCTGAATAATTTTTGGTTTGACTATATATATATATACAGTCAAACCAAAAATTATTATATATACTGTATATATATTTAGTCAGTCTATATAGACTGACTGTATATTATGATATTATGGCTCTCTCATATAATTTCTTGGCCTTCATCTTTAGCAAGTTCAAGCAGATTTGACGGCCCTTGCAGTGTTTTATTTAGCTGTTTACAGAGAGGTTCCTTCACTACTTTAGAGGTCACTCTTAAAGTGCCCTTGAATTATATTCTGCTGTCAGATTGGATGCGTTATTCTGGGCAGTGAAAGACCTCGAGCCCTATGTCATCAATCTAAAGCAATTTCAGCCCTATTGGTTTTTGCGTTTCGATCAAGCAGTCATTCACATTCCCAGCAGCAGGTGAGGTGGAGACAGCTGGTCTCGCGCTCACCCTTCCCCGAGTGAAGGACTCTTCAGCTGCCGCAGAAATCGCTCATCCCGCTCAACATGAGGCCGTGGTCTCACACCACCACTCCAGCCGCGCAAACAATTTAGCCCTGAATCCCAAATCCAACAGATCTATTATGGGATTAAAGGCCTTGTTATCAGGCTTTGTGCTGGAATAACAGCAGAGCGTCAGTTCGGATTCATATGTTATTTTCCTATGTCTTTTGGAAATGAGACAATGTTCTTTAGTGTCTATACAGTTCTGATCCAGTCATGTCAGTGTGTGCGCTGTGTCTCTATTTTCAGGAAGTCAGCTCGACACAACAGCACGCCGCATCTCAAGGCT